GGGGCAAAAGGGGAAAAGGGTTTTAAGTGATGAGAGGAATTTTGAATGATGGTGGCGGGCTTTTGGAGGTTTGAAAATTGTGAGTGAAGATAGAAAAAAAAAAGAAAAGGTGATGGAGAAAGAAAAGGAGTGGTGTTTCCCACGCCTTGCTTGGGCCTAAAATCAGTGGTCAATTTATGCTGTTGTTTTGTTGTGGAGTGTGTCCTCCTTAGAGATAGATAGATAGATATTCACATTGTTGCTGGTTTTGCTTTTGGACGAGCAATAATAATGCAAATGTTGATGAACGGTTTTGTGTTGGCCTCGTACCTCTAATTAGCTTATGTTTGTAGAGATGATGATGATGGATTGATGTCTAAGGTAAGGACATCAAGAATCTAACCAAATGATAGATGGTCGAATCAATATAGTAGTAGGAGTAGTAAGAGCAGCAGACACGGGTCTCAAACGGTTACGATTTTGATTTTAACCAACCAAATAATGATGGGGAATGTGTTTTGGTAGACACGATGCAAGATCAGTGAATCGTGGCAAGAGGGTGCGATTCCATGCATATTAAGCGCACCATAAGAGGGTGAGCCTAGATGCACCTTAGTGAGATTCCAACCAATTGGTGATGAGAGAAGTAGCCCACTTGGCTTATATACTAAGCCTATTTTCCCTATAGAATCAATATGGGACAAATCACAAGTGATACTCCAACACGCCTCTCACTTGTGAGTCCTTCATAAGCCCAAGCCCAGAGCAGGTCGGGTAGAGTTAGAGACCCTGACCGGAGTTGGCCGGGTAGAGATAAAAACCCAGGCAGGAGTCGGCCTGTCTCTGATACCATGTAAGATTTGAAAATCTTGGCAAGAGGGTGCGACCCTACGCATATTAAGCGCACCATAAGAGGGTGAGCCTAGCTGCACCTTAGTGATGTTCCATACCAAAACCAATTGGTGATGGGAGGAGTAGTCCACTTTGCTTATATACTAGACTCATTTTCTCTATAGAATCAACGTGGGACAACTCACAAGTGATACTCCAACACACGGGTCGTGCTAGAAATTGATAGATCGATAGAGGTACAGCTGCACACGATTTGAGCCGCTCGCGAGCGCTCGAATCAAAGCTGAGCTTGAGCATGTTATTGAGTTCATCTCAAGCATATTGTTGACATCCGGATCGGTCAGGCCAAGATCGAGTAGGTCGGCCCCCCCCGAACC